GAAATATATAATGTCGTTTAGAAAAATTCCATGTATTATGGATGACGGAAAAAGTATCTCGATAATGTTATTGATCTTATATTCTTTGAGAACATTTCTGAGGGGAATAGAAGTGAGCTTGGCCCATGGTAAGCCCATTTATCAAAGTTGGGCCTCTTTGAAACATACTTATGGTGGAGAAGCCGGCTCTTTGGCTGCGGATGGGCTTGTGGTGGTTATAAGCATTTGCATATAGGATTTTCTTAAAGATCGGTTAATTTGAACTATATACAGTAAAACCTCTCTATAGCCATAATGGTAAGACTAACTAATTTTATTACTATAAGGAGTTTATTACTTAATAGAGGTGTAATTACAAAAAAAAATTATTTTATAATTCATGTTTTAGTAGTACAGTATTAGGATTTAAATTCATGTTTTAATAGTATTAGGATTTCAAATTTAGCGCTTCAATTGTCTGCTTTTGAAACAAATAGAAGATCATGTCTTAGAACTAGCAAATATAAGTGTCCTTGATGGAATTGTAAATGCAATTGTTGCATGGTCAATTGATGTGAAGCCACAAGCAGTTGCCAATTATTTTAAACATTGCAAGATTAGGACTCTCAATGTCGATGAATTGTAATTTACAGATTAAGTGGAGGAGGAGAATCAAAGAGTCATAGTAAAATTAAGTGATATATTCGACAACTTCACTACACTAATCGAATGGATATTAATATCTTTCTCAATCATCCAAATGAACAACAAGTCATTTATGCTTTATTTGAAGAAGAAATCATTGCTATAATTAGACATAATAAAAAGGAAATAATCATGAGTATGATAGTATGAAGATACAAAAAAATTTGTGCCAAGAAGCTTTAAACATACTTAAGACGCTAGAAATATTTTGGCTTTAACAAGAAGATGTCCATGCTAGCGAGTAATGTACCTGTAAGTTAAAAGATTCGGTATCAACTCTAAAGCATAAATTATTGTCCCAAACAACTTTAAATAAATATTTTCTTTCATCTTAAACATTTAATGTAACATAGCATATATTTTTTTTACAATATACAGATAATTATTACTATATGGAGGCAACTTTCCTTAAGACGGGAATTAGAAAAATTATAACTTATTACAATGTAGAGTTTATTCTTTTTTATAACTATCCCAAAATGAGAATATAATTTTTTATAATTATGTAGAGTTTATTCCTATGTAGAATATTACTGTAGAGGTTTTACTGTATACACTTCACAAACTCTTCTTTATACCCACCCAATTTATCCTCTTTTCTTTGAGCGTGTTATATTAGGTCACATATTATGTCATATTAATAGTGTAACAAATTATAAAATTAATTAATTAGATTGTATTTTTGCTATACCTAAGATTTGTAATATTATGACATGTGGGTATGTAAGATTTATAAAATGTTAATAGAAATATGGATGGACCTACCTCTTTTTTTTTTTTTTTTTTTTTTTTTTATGATTGAGGTGTCGTACCTCAATTAATGTCCGGGGTCCATTGAATACCTTACAAGTCTAATGTTTCAAGGTAAGCTATAAATGTATTAAGTGGTCTCATGATGGTTCGAAGCTAGGAAGTCAATAAAAGAAACAAACATTTTCCAATCCCTTAGGATTAACAGATCTACATATTGATGAGTGGGGGTTGGTGACTCCATTAATTTTTTTTTTAAATTAATTTGGTTTAGTTTTTTGCTCAGATCATCCTATATTTTTATTGATATTTCTATATTTGACACTATTTATTTACCTTTTCCCTGTTTTATATTATACTATTCAACGTCGAAAAGATTGAATTGATAGTCTAAAAATTTGAAGGTTTAAGTGGAAATTAAATACTATGGGTTTCTTATCTTATTATCATTGGATGTTAATGGACAGTCTAAAGCATGTAAATAATGTAGAAAGTTAGAACAATATTTTAATAACATCATAATTTTATAATAAAAAATATGAATTTAAAAAACAAGAGGCTGCCTTATGGGCGGCTAACAGATTGCATTATTTTTGGGGCAAGAGCAAAACTTAAGAAAGAGTCAAGCTCACAGAAACATGTGGACTTACTACTTGACCACCAAAAAGTATTTTGTCCCTTTAAGAAATGCCATTATGTTAACTTTTTAATTAGTCATAAATTAGTATCATGACACTCGATTTGTCTACTATAATTAGTGTTGGTGAGATTAATAATTTTTATAATAAACCACCTTTGGATGAAAGAGTAGTCTAATATGAATTCTTTGGTGTATTACTCAAGATGTTTTGAGTTCGATTTTTTTTAATTTCTAATATGTATTATCACTAGATGTTTACTCTATCGTTAACTTCATTGTCCCGTAAGATTAGTTGATGTTCTTGTAAATTGTCCTATACACTCACCTCCTGATCACACAAAATATTTAGTGATAATCTCTTAACATTATACGATTGACTTAAAATTAAATTTATAATATATTATACTACTATTGTTTTAATATTATATGCTTTATATTAGACATTCGTACTATGATATGATAACTATAAATAAATCATTTTTATTTAATTTATTATCATTTTTTTATTGTTTTATATTAGTATTGTAAAATTCATTTTTTTAAATTAAAGTTAAGGGGTTTTTGGTTATCGACTGTAAAATTCTGGTCATGCTACTACAAATACGTTTTCTTTAGTAATATATATCGTCGTATTAGTAATATTTCATCTATTATGAATGATCGAAAAAGTATTTCGATAATGTTATCAAATTCGATATCGATATTCTTTGAAAACATTCTGAGGGGAGTAGAACTGAGCTTGGCCCATGGTAGGCCCATTTATCAAAGCCCGGCCTCTTTGAAACATACATATGGTGGAGAAGCAGGCTCTCTGGCTGCAGCTTGCAGATGGGCCTGTGCGGATTCTGAGCATTTGCATATTAAGATTTTCCGAAAGATCGGTTAATTTGAAGCAAATTAATTTCCAAATTAGTTTATAAGATAGAATTAATTTCCACAACTCTCTATCAAGGGGTTTTTGATATTTTTAAAGGTTTTTTTTTTTTTTTTTCCTAAAATTATAGTTCTCGGAGGTTTTTTTTTATGCTTATAAGCAGCTATATGAAGTTAATTTGATGACATATACAATTGAACCTTGATAAATTAATATCTTTAGGACCATAAAAATTTATTAATTAATCAATATATTATTTATTAATTTATCGAGGTATTCTTTATTTTTTTTTCCAAAATATTGAACTTAATGCATATATTAAGAAAAGTAAAAAAAAAGGTCCAAGAAGACATCAATTTCAAAAGAAAATAAGTAATATTGAAGTTATATTTTTCAAAGGCCTCCTAATTGAGTCATTCATATATATATATATATATATATAACAAAAAATATTATTTAATCGATATTATTAATTTATCAAGGTTTAACTATATTTGAAAGTGATTTATTTTTTAAATAACTATCTATTAAGTGATTTCTTTATAAAAAATTGGGTTCTAAAAGAAAATCCTTTTAGTAATAATTTACATAAACAAATATACTTGAGGAAAAAAATCATGAATACATTTAAAGTCTATTCACTTTAATTAATGCATATTTATTGCTCCATCTTAAGAAATAACGACTTTTTCCCACCCAAATAATGGTTTAATGAAAATTTTCTACCCACAGATTTTTAAAATATCACTTTACTACTCAAATTTATATTCCGATGGTGAATAGAGAGCAAACTCTATTTAAGCTATTGGAGCTTTTGAAGAGAGGAGGTTGATGAGTCTTTTGGTAGTAAAATGTTGGATTTTAGTGATTATGATTGATCGAAATTTGACTTGAGAATGGTGACTATACAAACCTGAATCGTTCGATTACTGACGATTGATGGGAGTAAGGTTTTAGGGGTTTTAGTGAGTGATGATCGGGGATGAAAATGGTGATGATGTGGGGTCGCAACGATGCTAGAATAGGAAACAAAATATAAATTTGGATAATAAAAAGATAATTTAAAAGTATGTAGGTGAATAAGTGTCATTAAGCCATTATTTGGGTGGGAAAAAGTCGTTTACTCCCATCTTAATTTTGCTTTAAGTTTTAATTTAGTCATCATGTTGTGGCCAATTACTAGCAATTCTATGTCTTTTAATATTGACATATTATATTATCACCACCTGAAATTATTAAGTAAATTTATGTACATTAACATGTGTTTGCAATCAATGCCAAATGTATTTTAATGGTATCCTTTAATATTGTTTTTTCTCTCATAATTTCAAAATGATGAAAAGACATTAAAGAGAGATGCTACATATATATTATTACCAAAAGTAAACTCGACCACCATTATGAAAACTTCATAAAATCTTGTCTGCGACAATTAATTGGTATTATCGATAGACAAGGTTGGAATTTTAAGTCCACATGCATAAGAATTTTTTTGTTTATAAACCAACCGTCGAATGGTTTAATAAAGACTCTTGTGTGTATTATTCACGAAGTCTTAAGCTTGAGTCTATCATCGGTTGCTAATAGGGGTGATCACTAGAGTATTTATTTGATTGAGGTGCACGTAAACGAGCATAGATACCTCTTATTCACCAAAAAAAAAAAAAAAAAAAGGGTATATATATATAGGAATTCAAATATCAAACCTCAACTCTTTGCTAGCAAGCGAGAGTTAACTTATGTTTGCATGCAAGATTTTGTCTTTATTTATAGTATCAAGAATTAAGGTCTGGATCTTAAGTGGACACCTAAAAATTTTCATATTTATACAGACTAATTCTTTATTAAGAACACCTTTATTTAAATTTTGTGAGGACTATATTTAATTATCATTAGATTCATCATTATTGGACTGAAATAATATTTTACAGATTAATGCAATGGTATTTAAGTAGGTACTCGTAAAATTTACTTAAAGAAGTCCCCATATATATATATATAATGGCAAAGTAATAACTAGAAAAATATGCACATTAAAGTATTACTCTTCACTCATAATTAATTACAAAAAAAAATATGAAAATAAATTCATACAAACACCATATATGAAAGCTTTAACTTCTAGAGATACACATGAAACGTATTATAACAAGGAGAGAGAGAGAGGGAGTTTAATAATCAGATTATAGTCAAGATTTAGACGCTTAAATATACAAGAGAGAGAGAGAGAGAGAGAGAATTAAGCTGTGGTGCTTAATTCTTATTATTATGATTATTAATTAATTAAGTTGATTAATAGAATTATTAATATTTATATTTTTCTTCTTCTTGACAAGTGCTTCTGCAGGAAGTGCTTCTTCACGATCATCAGCTTTTGTAGGTGCAGCAGCTGCCATTGAAAGCTCAAATTGTCCCAAAGAGAGCAACCCAGGAGCCATGATATTTTCCCAATTGCTGCCTTTGATTGAATTATTATTATTATTATTATTTTGGTTTTGATTATTATTTGTTGTAGTTGTAGTGCAACCATCAAGTCCAATGTGGGTGACATGCATCACATCTGTTGGCAACCCTATTTCCATCTCCTCCTCCATCTCTTCTTCTTTGTATGCTACAAGATGAATATTCAAACCACAATGTGTTCATTAAGAGAAAGAAGAATACAGGAATAATGGATAAGTTTATTCTGACGAGAACTAAGTTCGAATTAGTTTGTTGGAGGATATACATATGTAGTTAAATCTCGATAAATTAATAATTTTGATTAAATAATATATCGATTAATTAATAAATTTTCATAGTCTCAATGATATTAATTTATCGAAGTTTAACTAAGGAAAAAGTATGATATATTTTGTATTATAATACTATTGAATACAAGTCACTAAAACTGTCAAACATAGTCTTAAATGGACAGTGTATCAAATCACTTGTAAGACTTGTTCAATAAAATCCTATCGTATATGTATTTACTTCAGAGTTAACGAGAAATTAAGGATTTGTAAACTTAAAATAAATAAATAAATAATAATAATAATAATAATAACTATATAGAAAAATAATATGAGATGGAGGCTTACCAAAGAATTGAGAGAAATTTTTTAAGCCCTTACAAAGCCTATTGAGACCAGTTGATAAATCAGGCTTTGAGTTGGGGAGGGACCTGAATGAACCCTTCATGCTTTCACTTGATATACTTTCTTCATCTTCTTCTTGGTTTTCTGCACCAAATTTTCAAAGCAAGACCAAATATATAAGACCCTTTGGTTTTCTGAATTTACAGATAAAAACCTAATAAATGAACTTCCAGATGAACATAGAGCCCAAAACATGAATTTGTAATAAAAACAGAAACAGAGAGAGAGAGATGATCAGAGACTTATTGCAGTAGTAGAAGAGTTATGAATCTCTGCACCAGCAGCCGCAGCTGGCTTGGACGACGATGATCTTCGTGGCGGTGGCGACGGCTGCTGCTGCTGCTGAACACCCACCGCAATGCTGGATTCAGAAATACATCCAGCTGAGAAAGGAAGCAACACAAATCTCTCCATTTTATCTCTCATCATAATACTTTCTTCTTCAATTGCCCAGACTCAAAATTCTATAGAAACAGCCACCAAGAAAACACAAAAACTATGAAAATAAACCGAAACCCTTCTTTGTAATTAGCTCTTGGCTTTGCTGTCAAGTTACAATAATTTTAGTACGTACACAAAGTCAGGCTCCACACGATCAATGTTTGTTTGGTAGAGGAGAAAATTTTATAAACGAATTGAGATAGAAGAGAATGAAAATGTACACCAACTGATAGGTAAAGTTGGACGTGTAATGAAGAATTAATTGAGAATTTTTGAATGGAGAATTCAGTTTAACCTAATTTAATAACAGTTTTTCAGAGACATGAGATCAGAAAAAATGTTTAATAAATATATAAATTAGGTGGAGTTGATAATTATTTTTGCATTAATTTGTAAATCTCTTTCAAGAAACTTTTTCTCCTATTTAAGATTTCTACAGTGGGCTCCTACCTTCACTTGCCTCTCTTATACAATAAGCCACCATTTTCTTTTTCTTTTTCTTTTTTAGCTTTTGGGATTTTAGTTGGCTTTTGTTTTTTTGGGGAAATATCGGGTGGACCCTTTAAAATTTCGTTGACCGTTTCGTTAGCCTCATGGTTTCCAAATCTCACAACCCTGATGTGACAGCCCGCAATTTATCAAGTAAACGTGACCCACAACAAGTAGACGATACCCATTTGTGAGTTGACTAATAACAAACTGTCACGTCGGGAATTGTGAGAGAAAGTTATAAGATTGAGTTTTGGACCTCACATTTTTCTTCTAATATATCAAATAAATTATATGTGTTGGATATATCTGGTTCTGATCATAGACGTATAATCGTTCTATTTACAATCATATGTGATACTTTAGGTAGTAAATATCATTTTAATCATAAAATAATGAGATTATTTGTCAAATTAATGGTCGCATTAGTGCCACACATTAATTGGGATATATAAAGGTTCTCGACAAGAGTTTCCGTTCTCATACGTAACATTAATCTCACCCGACAACCATTGACTTGCCTTGACGAGTAAAAAATTAAGAATATCTCTTACATTTTGAAATTTAATTTGAATAGAACATAATTATTTTATGTCAATATTAAAAACATAAATAGACAATGATACGATAACGAAAGTGGGGTGCAAATTGTTAGTTTTGTCGCTAAATAGGGTGTGAGAGAATAATGCCAAATATAAGAGGGTTTATATGAAATATTTTTTCATTTTGGAGATTTGTTTTGTTTACTTAAGTTGAACTCTACCAACTTGGAAGTAGTGAATCCAAAGCAAATCAATATCTAGTGAAACACAGAAGCACTCTTGGTGATGGAGACCAAATTGAACCTTTCTTGATTCCAAAGAAGTAGAATCATAATTGATGGTTGAAATCTGAAGATAGATTTGTTGGAGAAAAAAATATTTTAATTAATTAGTTTAAAGAATGAGTAGTCACTTGAAGAATTATTATTACATAGTTGTTACTATGACTAAACTTTATGGTATTTTATTTCCTTCTTTAAAGTATGAATATATATCGAAAGAACTACGATACAGTATCGTACCCAACATAATAAATTAACTTTAAATTATTGTGTCAAATTATGTTAAATATCGGTTTTTAGCATAATAGTATTATGTTCACTGATCTGTAAAATTATATTTAGTAATACCCATATAATATTTAGTTCAGAGTGGATTGACAAAAAAATCCTGACTATGTCTCCGATAACATATAATTGTTAATAGACTGAATGGTAATATTTAAAACATAAATCAATATGACTTTGGTATTTTAGGAGATCCCTTGGTTTTATATACAACATATCTACAATTGAGATTTTTTTTTTTTTTTTTGCCTTATGCAATTTAATTTATAATAAATAATTTGTATTGATATAATCAAATTTTTTGCGTTTGTATAGTTAAAATTTATGTGAACACTCTTAAATTAGCATAAAATAAAATGAGTGTTCCAAAAGCTACATGGAATGAAGTAATCAATTCCCACTTGTAGATTGTGAAATAATTTATATGATATAAAATTTAAAAAAAAAAAAAAAAATTGATGTTAGATTTGTTAGAAATCAATGATGTTGATGTTGTTGTGGAAATGTAGACTTATGATAGTTCCTCTCACTTCCTCTCACCAAATCCATGATGATGATGCTGCCTTAGAGTTCTAAAATAATTAACCTATGATGACAACATCATGCTTCAATGGAGTAGGTATTATTTATTCTTTTTATTTTATTTAGGGTTGATATTATCCGTCTTTAAGAGATCGTTAAGTCTCAGTGTCATGGAGTTTTTACTATTTTAATACTTTTATTGTGGGTAATAGAAGGAATATTAATGTCTTCCTTAATCATCTAAATGAGTAACAAGTCATGTATGCTTTAACAAAAGAAGAAATCATTTCTACAATTAAACAAGAAGAGAAATAAAATAATTATGAGAGATAGTATGAAAATATAAAAAGTTTCATGTCAAGAAACTCTAAATATGCTTGAGAAGCTATAAATGTTTTGGCTTTAACAAGAAAATGTCTATGCTAGCGAGTAATGTACCGCAAGTTAAAAGATTGTAGTAACAACTCTAAAGCATAAATTATTATCCCAAATAACTTCAAATAAATATTTTATTTAATCTTAAACTTTAATGTAACATACCATATATATATATATTTTTTTTTTTGCAATATACAGATAATTATACTATGTGAAGACAACTTTCTTAAGACGAGAATTCGAAAAATTATAACTTATTACAATATGAAATTTATCTTATTATAACTATCTCAAAATAGGAATATAATTTTCCATGACTATATAGAGTTATTTATATAGAGTATCACTATAGAGAGTTTTTACTCTACGTGTGTGTGTATATATATATATATCTATCTATATATATAATATATATATATATATATATATATTAGGATATTATTAATTTATATATCAAGGGGTACCTATGTGTGCCTTTTTTTTTAAATATATTATCTCATAAATTAGCGATATTATTAATTATACTTGGTCCCAAGTCGAGATTGACAAAAAATATTATTTAATCAAGATTATTAATTTATCGAGGTTTACCTGTATTTGAAAGTGATTTATTTTTTATTTTTTAAAAAATATTATTAAGTGATTGCTTTATAAAAAAAATGGGTTCTAAAAGAAAATTCTTTTAGTAATAATTTACATAAACAAATATACTTGGGGAAAAATCATGAGTACATCTAAAGTCTATTCACTTAATTACTCCTATTTATGCGCCTTTAAGAGATAACGACTTTTTTCCACCCAAATATGATTTAATGAAATCATTCTACCCAGGACTTTTGAAATACCACTTTACTACTCAAATTTATATTTCAATGGCAAACAGAGAGCAAACTCTGTTCAAGCTATCGGAACTTTTGAAGAAGAGAGGACCGATGAGTCTTTGATGGTGGAAGATTGAATTTTGGTGATTAGGATTGATCAGAATTAGACTGGGAAGGGTGATTGTACAAACCTTAATCACTTGATTACTAACGATTGGCGGGATGACAGGAGTAAGGTTTGAGGGTTTTTGAGTGTTGATCGGGGATGAAAATGGTGATGGTGTGAGGTCGCAACGATATCAGAATCGAAAAACAAATATAAATTTGAATAATAAAATGAATTTTAAAATATATAGGTGAATAAGTGCCATTAAATCATTATTTGGGTGGGAAAAAGTCGTTACCCATCTTAATTTTGCTTTAAGTTTTAATTTAGTGATCATGTTGTGGCCAATTACTAGCAATTCTCGTCTTTGCAATCAATGCCAAATGATTATATTATCACACACCTGAAATTATTAAGTAAATTTATGTACATTAACATGTGTTTGCAATCAATGCCAAATGTATTTTAATGGTATCCTTTAATATTTTTTTTTCTCATAATTTCAAAATGATGAAAAGACATTAAAGAGAGATGCTACATATATTATTACCAAAAGTAAACTCGACCACCATTATGAAAACTTCATAAAATCTTGTCTGCGACAATAATTGGTATTATCGATAGACAAGGTTGGAATTTTAAGTCCACATGCATAAGAATTTTTTTGTTTATAAACCAACCTTTGATAGTCGAGTGGTTCAATAAAAACTTTTATGTGTATTATTCACGAGATCTGAGTTTGAGTCTATCATCGATTGCTAATAGGGGTGATCACTGAAATTTTTATTCGGTCGATAGTTTTAGGGTTCTGAAAAACTAGTTGAGGTGCACGTAAACGAGTCTAGATACCTCCGATCATAAAAAAAAAAAAAAAAAAAAAAAAAAAGGTATAATATATATAGGAATTCAAATATCAAACCTCAACTCTTTGCTAGCAAGCGAGAGTTTACTTATGTTTGCATGCAAGATTTTCTTTATTTATAGTATCAAGAATTAAGGTCTGGATCTTAAGTGGACACCTAAAAATTTTCGTATTTGTATAGACTAATTCTTTATTAGGGAAGTCTTATTTAAATTTTGTGAGTACTGTATTTAATTATCATTAGATTCATCATTATTGGACTGAAATAATATTTTACAGATTAATGCAATGGTATTTAAGTAGGTACTCGTAAAATTTACTTAAAGAAGTCCCATATATATATATATAATGGACAAAGTAATAACTAGAAAAATATGCACATTAAAGTATTACTCTTCACTCATAATTAATTACAAAAAAAAATATGAAAAAATTCATACAAACACCATATATGAAAGCTTTAACTTCTAGAGATACACATGAAACGTATTATAACAAGGAGAGAGAGAGGAGGGAGTTTAATAATCAGATTATAGTCAAGATTTAGACGCTTAAATATACAAGAGAAGAGAGAGAGAGAGAGAGAATTAAGCTGTGGTGCTTAATTCTTATTATTATGATTATTAATAATTAAGTTGATTAATAGAATTATTAATATTTATATTTTCTTCTTTGACAAGTGCTTCTGCAGGAAGTGCTTCTTCACGATCATCAGCTTTTGTAGGTGCAGAGCAGTGCCATTGAAAGCTCAAATTGTCCCAAAGAGAGCAACCCAGGAGCCATGATTTTCCCAATTGCTGCTTTGATTGAATTATATTATTATTATTATTTTGGTTTTGATTATATTGTTGTAGTTGTAGTGCAACCATCAAGTCCAATGTGGGTGACATGCATCACATCTGTTGGCAACCCTTTCCATCTCCTCCTCCATCTCTTCTTCTTGTATGCTACAA